ATGTCCCCACTTTTCACAAAAACAAACCTGTGTGTGTGTGTGATATATAATGTATAATTCATCTGTCTGTGTGTGTTTCCCAACCCACGCTATTGCATACAAAGGTAGCAATTGCACTTAATGGCAACCGGTTTGAAATCATTTCCTTTTGTGAACTAATGTGACTTCTTATCACAGAATGAGGCAGAAATTATATTCTTTTTTTAGTATTCATTTATGGTATCCACTAACTGACTGTTGAACACCTTTGACAGAAATGTAAAGATTGTCAAGGCTGTAATGTGATTAGTTATTAAGGCACACAACGTTATCGGCCTTCTCCAGTGGTAGAAGCATTGACCCTGGTATCTCCCAATAACAAGACCATCTCTGGTTACTGGAACTGGATTATTTATGTCATGTTAATATACGTCCACTATTAATTTTTAAATATCATGGTTATTGCACATACTGATTATATAGTGACACCCCTAAATGAACACAATAACAATATTTAAATTTTTTTAATATCACGGTTATCGTCAAGACAGGTATATAGTGCCACCCCTGATATATAGAAATTACAAGTATATCTTTTTTCTCTCTCTCTTGGATTTAAACAGATTACACCCTGTGGCCGTTCTGGGTCGACACCCACGTTGATTCACCTTTTCACATCGATGACAGGTTTGCCTTCATCAGCTATAGCGCTAATTCATTGTTTGTTCTCCTTTAACATAATTCAGAGTTGTTTATCCTGAAGTTTTTGCTTTTTTGCTGGCACACACTGACTTGTCTCCTGCCTCTCCAGCGGCACGGTGCGGGATTCAAGATTTGCCAAGGTTCCCATTTATCACGATACTGAAAAGATCCTGAGCTCACTGCATAGTCAGGGGTTCAAGATAGGCATTGCATCGCGGTAAGATTGCAAATGATCGAATGAGCAAACACACACACACACACACACACATAGGCCTACGTAATGTGTATATATATATATATATATATATATATATATATCAAAGATGTGTTCTTTTTCTGTTTCTCAAAGAACCAGTGAGACTGAAGGAGCCAATCAGCTGCTGTCACTCTATAAACTTGACCAATACATTTCCTTCAAGGAGATCTATCCCGGTTCAAAGGTCACTCATTTTAAAAGGTACAGAAAGGACTTTTGACTTTTGAATTTGGCTGGTAATCAGTAAACCCCTAGTAGCCACGCAAAACACTCTAGCAACCACAAAGCAATACTACAAAACAATGTGAACAACATAACATTGTAACTCTATAGTGCAACCAACATAACATTCAAGAAACATTCCCAGTTTCTTTAGAATATGTGCAACTAATTAGAATATATACATTACCGGTCAAAATTTGGATTAAGTTTTTTTAAATGTTTTTTTTTTTTATGAAAACATTTTTTATTATTGTCCATTTTGAAAACAGTTTTTGCACACGATTTAAAACAAATAAATTAATATGTTTATTACACTTTAAATTGATCAAAATTGACAGTAAAGACATTAATAATGTTACAGAAAATTTGTTTCAAACATGTAATAGAACTTTCTATTCTTCAATAAATCCTGAAAAAAAAAACAATTAGCACAGTTTCCATAAAAATATTAAGCAGCTAAACTGTTGATAATAATAATAAATGTTGCTTGAGCAGAAAATCAGCATGTTAGAATGATTAGAATGATAGAGGGATCATTTGACACTGAAGCCTGGAGTAATGATGCTGAAAATTCAGCTTCACATCACGGGAATGAATTATAGTTTAACATATATTCAAATAGAAAACAGTTATTTTAAATTGTAACAATATTTCACAATATAACTGTTATTTTTAATCGAATAAATGTAGCCGTGGAGAGTATAAAAACCTTTCAAAAACACAATTGAGTGTGTTAATTTCACAGTTCTATTCTAAATCAAAGTGGCATAATAGTGCGTGCGTCTGTCTTTGCATGTGGCGTCTCGCTCACAAGTGTGCGTGTCTACAGTACCTCAGACCATCTGACTGTTGTTCTGTCTCCAGGCTGAAAGCTGACAGTGGCGTTCAGTTTTCTGACATGATGTTCTTTGATGATGAGGATAGGAACATCTTGGAGGTTGGCAGGCTGGGTAAGTCTCTGCTTACTCTCCTCCGCAGACCTTTAGAGCTGCTTCAGAGATCTGGAACTGTACGGTGAAAGTTGGAGACATCCGGTTGAATCAGCTTCTGTTTCCTGCTCTTTTAGGTGTTCACTGTGTGATGGTTCATAATGCCATCACCTGGGATCTAGTCAAGAAAGCACTTGAGCAGTTCAGCAAGAAGCAGTGAAGGCGTCTGGTCCTGTGGAGATGCAGCTGCTGCAAATGAAGAAGAACCCATTTGCTGTGCAGAAAAACTGACATGCATAGAGGACAGGGAGGGTCATGTTTAGTGGTTATTTCTGTGCGATCAACCGTTTTTGACTTGACTGACAAAAGCAATTGGCGAATACTTATAATTCTGTTTTAATGTTTACATAGTTTATTATTTAGCTCCATTTGAAAACATTAAATTAAGTTTTTTTTTAGATGCAATTTATATTTAATTTTTCAATGTATACATTAATAATTCGTTCCTTTAAGTGACCCACCTAGTCTGCCAAAGAAATGCACCTTTGCTTGTTTTTATCTAATAAAGACTTTTAAGTTAAATGGAACTAAACACAGCAAATTGTAAAACAAAAAGGCATGTGTTTTTATTGTTACTGTATGTGACAGATTTTCTGTACAGAGACTACAATAGAAAAATAGTTTTATATTTATTACATTTATAAAACACGTGTCTTCCATTTTTTGTTGGTCTCTTTTTTTAAATGTCATTTTCTCTCTTATTTGACTCT